CAGTCACGCTCTTGTTCAAGCAGATATCCGCACGCACAATCGTGATCATTTATGCATCCATGCTCTATCAAAGGGTCCAAAAGCAAGAAAGCAGTTCATTCCGTAACGCTCACGGTGGGCTTGATTTCTAGCATTCCCACGACACGTTTGACGTTATTGACCGACTTATATATCCATTGCTTGGTAGAACCCTGATCCATTCAAGTGTTCAGCGTAGGGAATGTTTTGCAGTTCTACTGAAAGCCAGTTAACCGTATCAAAGGGTGGTGCCGGTGGGGTTCCGACCTCCGACTACCTGTTTACTATCCTAAACTGAAACTTATTTTATTCGATTCAAATCTCTTCTTCAACAGGTTGCATGATAACCAGTACATCTGTTTTTGACTTCAAGGTTGTTTTCAAAGTTGATTTTAACGGTGTATGTGCTCCTCTAGAACTTTTCAGTGTTCTTTCCCATTTAGTCTAGCGTACCAATCGCGTTCGTGATATCACATGAACAAAACCGTAAATTCCTGAGTACGAATTTAGGAAAACGAGCTTGTTCGCTTTGTAGCTTGTCCTTTGATAACGTTATGATCATCTACGAATCGTAATGTATTTTTATACTTTGGTTTAGAAGATTTGCTCTCTGATCTGGATTACATTGTAGATGTTCCGTCTTGCCAGAGCTTCCTCGAAAGTGCTGTCCACGCTGACAGCTACCGCACCACGATGCATCTCTGGTCCGGCAAACACGCTAGAAGTGCGAAAGAAAATTGAAGACACCCGTGAGAAAATCCAGCTGGGTGGTGGACAAAAACGGATCGATGCGCAGCACAAGCGAGGAAAACTAACCGCTCGTGAACGCATTGAGTTGATGGCCGATCCTGGAACATTTGTGGAATTCGATGCTTTCATGGAACATGATTGTTACGATTTCGGAATGCAGAATCAAAAAATCACAGGCGATAGTGTTGTGACTGGTCATTGTAAAGTAAACGGTCGGACGGTGTATTTATTCAGGTAAATTTCTCCCATAACACGCGTCCACAGTTATTGACAATACGTTTCCTAATGCTGAAGTGATGAAAAGCATTTAAATCAAGATCAAACCGAGTAACTGGTTTAAATGTTGGAAAGTACGCGGGTTATTGTTTCATTATAAAACCACTTTAGTGAGATTACTTGGATCAGGTTCAAGATAACAACTGCAATCTGAGGGCGGTGATGTGCATAACTGCTGTTATGTAGCAATTTTGATCACCCACAAATTAACTTTATGAGCAAATGCAAAATTCTACTTTATCAATGTGTCATCTTCCTTGGTTAGCTGTGAACTTTTTTGAAATTGGCCCACTAATTTTTCTCTCAAATAATTAATCAAGTATGACAATACGAGAAGCAGCTTGGCGTTTGAAAATAACCGATGTATGAACATCACATGACAGGTATTCCGTCATATTTTGTTATTTAGCGTTTTTATTATTGAGGTTAGCTGCCTGCTCGAAAGGATTTCAAATTTTAATTGAATGGTAGAAATAGTGACAGTTGTACCCAGCGACCTTTCACAAGATTTTTCAGTGAATTATAAGAAAGTTGCAACCCATATTCAGTATCACTGGTAAAAGGAACCGTCAACTTAATTTCAGGATAATAAACTATGTGATTCTCCAACAGAATACGTTTTTTATGAAGCAGAACAAAAGTGAAACCTCTTAATGCCAAATTTAGATGGAAGTAGCAAGATTTCAACCTCGAAACTGAGACATTTCAGTCACAGTTACTTGAACCGCTTGACTAGCAATGTGAACCCTATTAACCAATCAGAAAAAGATACAAGACTATAATGTAATGCGATATCAAGATGAAATGATGGCGGAGCTGCTTGTGTGGGATAAGTTAGGTAGATGCCTTCACGTTGGGAAAGTTAATATGGTTTTTGCTCGATGTTCAAAATAGAAATTTCCACATCCACCTGAATCCCTTTACTTTTTCATGGTAAAGTGTGGGTGAAGAAATTCAAATAACTTGCATTTCAAAGGATTGATTAGGCAGTTCTGTTTTCCCATTCGGCTCAAAACTTTAAAATAGTTGCTGCTACTAGCGTCGTTCGGATGCTTGTAATCTCGTTGCCTGGCATAGGTTAAACTAGACAAAAGGTAATCAATATATATATATATATATATATATATATATATATATTGACTACATTTTGTCGAGTTTGAATTTCTATAACGAAAGCTGTTCGTATGATGAGGTTGTATGTTTTTTCAAACTGGTTTATAATAGTACGTTCAATTTTCTGAATCTGATCATTATAAGGGGATAACAAAGACAGTATAAATGTCCAGGCTGTTTGAATTATTCACTTCTAATCGGTGTTATCATACGTAAATCATTCTTTTATTGAGACTTAGGAAATTGATTTATTTGACCGAAACGTTATCCCGGTCGAAGCATAAAGGTTTTACCAAATTGTTTTCTGCGATTGGTCTTTGGTGTTGCAAATAAAGAGCTTCAAGCGGTTCATCTCTTCAATTTCCAGTCAAGACTTCACAGTGTTCGGTGGCAGTCTGAGCATGGTACATGCCCGCAAGATCTGCAAAGTTATGGATCAGGCAATGCTTGTGGGTGCTCCGGTCGTTGGTCTAAATGATTCCGGAGGAGCTCGTATTCAGGAAGGTGTGGCCTCGTTGGCCGGTTATGCAGACATATTCCAGCGTAACGTAAATGCCTCGGGTGTGATACCGCAAATTTCGCTTATTCTTGGTCCGTGTGCCGGTGGTGCAGTGTACTCGCCCGCACTGACTGATTTCATTTTCATGGTTAAAGATACATCATATCTGTTTATTACGGGTCCAGATGTGGTGAAATCGGTGACCAACGAGGATGTCACTCAGGTGAGTTTCTGTTTTGCTTGTTGCACTCGTTTTACTGATTTACCGCAGAGTCCTATGTTGCATCTTCTTTTGGGATACCATTATTGAAGAAAGCACTTCCTGCTGAATCCATTCTTTTAATTAGGTTTGCTTATATTGTACTATGATTTCTTTTGGCACAAAATCTGGCCTCAGACGAGCGTAATTACAACTATATATATATATATATATATATATATATATATATATATATATATATATATATATA